CTATCTATCTATCTATCTATCTATCTATCTATCTATCTATCTATCTATCTATCTATCTATCTATCTATCTATCTATCTATCTATCTATCTATCTATCTATCTATCTATCTATCTATCTATCTATCTATTTATCTATCTATCTATCTATCTATCTAATCTATCTATCTAATCTATCTATCTAATCTATCTATCTAATCTATATCTATCTATCTATCTATCTATCTATCTATCTATCTATCTATCTATCTATCTATCTATCTATCTATCTATCTATCTATCTATCTATCTATCTATCTATCTATCTATCTATCTATCTATCCGCCCGCCCGCCGGTCTGTCTGTCTGTGTGCTCTAGTGTTCCATGTATATATGTATAAATCTAATGTGTATAAATGTGCGCGCATTTGAAATTGTACTTGCATATCTGTGTGTGCGCGTATGTTTGATTATGTGCTGGTGTGCGCTAGTGTCCATGTGCGTGTGTGTGTGGGGGGGGGGAGTCGGGGAGGGGGAGGGGTCTGTCTGTAGTTGTGCGTCTACATGTACGTGCGTCATATAATCCAGCTCCTAAGAGGATTAAGCTCGAACCAAAAATTATAACCGCGTCAAGGGAATAATGGAGCACAGTTGGAAACCAGTTTCACGCCGAGACAAGCTCGTCTGCTTCGTGATCTACATGTACAAGCACAGAGAACGGGGAGACCCCAGCAGTAAGAAACCACAGGGACTAGTCTTGGTATAAAGTATCAGTATCGCAACGGTTATGTGTGGTCTGTTCTTGTATACAACCAGAAAGAAAAAATGTCTGGGCGATTCAATAGATAGGATGAATTCGAGGGATAAAAGAACAGTAATCAGAGAGGATACAGTCGCAGTGAGAGTCAGAGACTGTTGAAGATTCCTTGTATCCAATACTGATTGCGAAGACGGCACCATATTATTTAAGTGATTGGAACTATCATTGTGTTTCTTTGGTTTCTACAGTTCCTTGCTTCTCTTTAACGCCGTCATCAGTCAAGTTGTGTGCGCGTCAAGTAAAAACATGAATGGGGAATTCCAGAATATCAAACAATCTTGCCAAGGTCACTTTGAGTCCTTCTCTACCTAATTAGCCTCGTTTTCGTCTATTCAGCGTCAACGACCTGCTCAGTGGGCAACTATGCCTGTTATTTGAAGAACCTTTGAGTTTACGGCATTCTGGCTAGCTTTATTTTTCACCAGAATGTCGCCGTCCAGCAACGTCGCGGCAAAGGCGGTTAGAAAAGCCATTTAACAAAGAGCTTGGTCTTTTGACCAAGCGTGGCGAGAAGGCCCTAATTCCTACTCACTAGACCCTATGGTCACTTGACCTCTGTCTACGTCCTACTGTGGTATGTTTCGCTACGCCGCCATTTTTTTTAAAGACGCTTCTACCTGTTTAGAAAAATTCTTTCTTCTTTTAAAACCTCCGTGAAGAGGGTCAGTCCGTCAATCGCTGCCTGTTGCGCCACATACAGTGGTCAGACAATGGAACATTATGAATAATCACTTGCCGGTTAAGGAACGCAAAAATCGCCAGAAGAAAAGAACCAGCCTGGAAATGTCACAAATAAGCCTAATTGTTAGAAGCCAGGCTGAATGCGACCTCAGAAAGAGACCTTTCAGTAAAATTGCTACATTCAAAGTTTTCTTTCAGGCATAATGAGACTCTTCAGAGAATGATCCCTACCTGAGGCATATCTTTGACATACCTGTCTTTTTGCTCTGGATATGTCGGCCTCTTTGTTGGGGTTTTCCCGTCTAGCCATTCTTCTGCTCAACGACACAAGCAGTTAGTCAGGCAGTCGGTTAGTTAGGTGCGTACCCTTACAGAATGTGGCAGAACCAACTCCAGCATGTGTTGGCAGTTTTTAGGTCTGCTAGGAAATTATTAGTTTAGTAGTTTGCCATTGCTTTCTAGACGGTCTGCTCTCAAAACCCTGTCAACGTCAAGGCTGCACGGCAGAGTCTGCCTTGAGTGTACGTGTGCATGCATATGTATGTGTGTAAGCAAACACGTGTACATGGACTCCCGCTTGGGCCTGTGCGCATGTGTGTATATAAATCCATGTGTGTGAATGCAAACACGTATGCGTCCCTTCACACATGGGCCTACAGACATGTATGTTATGTGAAGGTATGTATGTATAAATATATATGTGTGTGTGTGTAATTGTACATGTATGTCTACATATATATATGTGGTCGTGTTTAGTGCCTGCCGGCCCCCTCTTCAAAAGCACTTATCAGGTGCTAGAGTGCCGCCCCAAGCCACTAGTTTTGGTGCAATTGACATTTCTTAGCCAACATAATCGGACACAGAAACCAGGCCACAGTTATAACCGAAATGTCTCGCAGTAGGTTGAACGTAGTCGATTTGTTGTTTAAAAATGGCTTAAGAATGGATGGGGGTCTGCTGCCAAATCGGTCGCAGACGAAATCGAACCCCGTACCTCGGAATTAAACAGGGCGGCCCCATCGCTTAGGTCACTGAAGCCGATATTTAAATCGTCCTCCTTAAAGAGGTTCACACAATAATCATGTGCCTTTTACGCCACATAGTGTGGTCGGGCATCATCATCATCATGATGAGTGTGGTCGGGCAAGGAAACGTAAATAACACAGATAAAGGACCCTTCAGGCCGTAGAAACATAATATTTATAAACAAACGGATAATGTATTGATTGGCACTCATGGTAAGAAGTAGAAAGATAGAAAAATGCACTAGACAGAGTAAAAATCTAAAGTTTTAGTTATTGTACCGGGAATCGAACCTGTCACCTCCAAATAACGCATGCACCTGGCTATAGAGCATTTTGCAAAATCACTTGCTGACCTACGGCTTAGGAATGTAATGCTCTTCTGTCCACCCTTTCTTGATTTATTTATCCACAAATCCACCAACTCACCCATTTATCCATCCGGACAGAACCCTTCATTTGATCACCCGATCTTGTAACTGTAAAAACAGGCCGTTTGTGTTCCTATACGCGTCATTGCCCCGGTAAATTAAATCAAATCTTTAACTGTCTGGAATACGAAAAGGTCAGTCGGTTGTTCTAATATAGAAAATATTACTACTTATTTGTTCCCCTTGTGGTCGATCATATCTAGTTCTAATGTATCCTCTTTTAACGTAAACTAATTAAAGGACTCTTGTCCACGCCTTTAGGCGTATAGGGCATATAGGGCTAGACCTATTTAGGGTCCTTTACTTTACTTTACGTTAGACCACTCTTGATGACAAAATAACAATTCTCCCCTGAACAGTCCGTGGCGACGGCACTAGCCTAAATCCTTAGGCTCAAACACTCCCTGCATAAACAAAAGTATAATAAGGCAGTGACAGGCAGTTTGACAGTCACCACCCTTTGTGAAGGCTCCCGGTGCCACCCGCACCCACCTTGCTACGCCTCTGCCCACCCGCACCCACCTTGCTACGCGTCTGCCCACCCGTAGAATTTTTTTTTTTACATGTCCACACATGTTGCTCCATTCATACCCAGACCCAAACAATGCTATCTGATAGTCTTTGCCTTTGTAGCTACTTTATATGCTGAACTTACACGTGTACGGTTGACCCCACACACCTCATTACTAAGTTCACACAGTACAACTATGGCTTTGTGTCTTCACTTGCTGCAGTCCATTTGGCTATATGACATACAGGCCTTCATACGCAATCACTTTCCGGGGACTTGTCTGCCCATGCTGCTACATATTTAGACCTGTTCTTCCTGACTTTTATTGCACACCTGCTTTCATTGCTACTTTTTCACCCATTTACATTTAGTTATCTTATTCACTTCAATTTTTGTTGAATTAACCATGTTTAGTTATTGTATTAATTCCGGTGACGATTGAAATCATTGTGAAAGAAGAAACATATTTTAACTCCAGCTGTTGTTTGATAGCTACCAGTTTCCCACCCAGGCACCCTAATCTGTCCAGTGACACGTGACTGAGACAACGCGGGTGATTGAATATGTCAATATTAACGCAAACATGAATGCAGTAGACGTGTACACCTACAATACGCACCACTCGTATACCCGCCGTAAAACAAGTAGATGTGTGTTTATACAATGTTCACTGCCTCCATACCGCGGAGATAAAGAAATATGGTGCACTTTTAACTCGGCAGAAACGTGGCAGTGGTGGAAACATATTTATCAGCAAGTCTAATAAAGCCTGTTTATATTTAATATTTTTATTCATGATTTTTGTGTGTGTTTACTTAAATATGACTCTCTGCAGACTAAAGGGGTTAACGCTGGTAATGTGTTTATAGCACACCCACCCTAAATTACATCTTACCAGGCGGGCCGCGATAGCGCAGTCGATAGGAGACTGGCTTTTAAATCCAGCTGCGACTCGCTGCAGCCCACGGCCGGTTTTCAAAACGGGGCGGTTTCCGGGGTTCACCCAACCTTTAGGTAATGAATACCAGAGTCGACACTCCGGAGTAAATAGAGGAACGTCGCTGTAGATACAGAGTTACGTGCGGACGGTGACACAGGCAGACAATTTCTTATCAGCTGTCCGTACAGGTCGTAGAGCACGCTGGTTCACACCTCCCGACTTTACCTTTACCTTAACTTTATCTTTAGTTTTTACCTTTACTTTACCTTTACATCTTACTTCATAACTGTTTTGTTTTGCCTCACTATAACTGTGATGTGTGGTTATACGGGAGCAGCCGTGGTTTAACGGCTAGACGCTCGTTTGCAGATCCAAAAGTCGCTTGTTCAAGTCCTGACGTAGTCTCTGAGTCTGAAGATTTAGGGCCTCATAATTGATGTAGCTGTAGCGGAGGCTTTAGCACGCATGGAAGTGCCCAATCTGGAGCGGTATTGATTGTGATCACATAACAGAATATAATAATGCTTAAATAATACGAGAAACATGCCCCCCCCCCTCCTTTTTTTTCATTTTTTGGTAATATTTTTGTCTAAAATGTTTCATTTCATCATGTCTAAAGGTTTGGTTCAAAAACCGACGAGCGAAGTGCCGACAGCAAGCCAAAGCTGCCGACCAGAAAAAGACAACAACCACTAACACCGCCACCGCCAATAACAACAGCAGCCACAACAACAACAACAACAACAGCAACAGTAATGGCAGCAGCGGTCCAAACAGCGGACACGCCAGCTCACCGCCTCCCAAAAAAGAAATGAAAGCATCCCCTCCTCCGTCTTCAGTATCCCCGGTTGATTACAAGCCAACAGTCTCGTCTCCGATGCTCCACCCGTCAAGCAGCCTGCTAGCAGTCAATCAGCAACGGCGGGACAGCAGTGACGTCTGGAACCCGGCCAACCCCATGTTTCAGCCAATGCCAGATTTGAGCAGCTGCATGCAACGACCCCATTACGCCCTTCATAACGGACAAGCCCAGTACACGCAACAGAACTACACCGGATATCACCATTATGGCGCCAACATGGAGTCGCCATATTCTCTACCCAGCATGCAGATTCCGGTCATGTCCAGTTCCCACCAGATGGGCAGTGTGCCCACCCAGCAGACGTATCAAATGTCTGGATATGGAACCTTGCCCTCCGCCAACACGCTTCCTCGCCCCAGTGCTCAGTCTCACGGGGACTGCGGGGATTATAAGGACTATGTACGCTTATTCTGAAGCTGTCACTGCAGAGAATGCAGAAATTAAAAAGATAATTACCATAAATCACACGAAAGGTATCAAATTGAAAGGATTGGCTTCATTACACAGGCTTTTTTTTTTAATGTAACTTGGTCTGGGGTGACCTCCTACCGAGACTGTCGCGTGAAGCACAAACTTCTTAGCTCAGCGTACGCCCTTCATGCATCTATGTATAACAATTCCACCCCTGAATCGAAATACATAGTCCGTGATACGACCCCACGATCTTCGGGGATTAAGACAACCTGTTTAACCACATCGCCAAGGAGATTTCATAAATATCTACAGCACGTGGAGGTCCAAAACGGTCACCTATCTATGTACAAACACCGCCTCAAGTTGTATACCTTCGCTGATCTAATGAAGATTCAAAATTTACCCAGAGGACATCAGTCATAAAACACTTTCACGAGACAAGCAAAGAGTAACACTGAAAGATTTATAGCCTTCAAGCTTACTTTGAAGGCAGATTTTTTAAAAAAAAGGCCTTTTCTTGCCAAGAGTCATTGGGATACAGAGCACCTTTCCCACAGCCTACCAAATTATCAACTAGAAGACTTAAAAGTAAAGTTCTCCTATATTTATCGAAACAATATTAACTTGACCAGTAAAGGAGAGCATGAAACTGCAACTTGTTGTCGAGGCTTTTGAAGAGAGCTAGTATTATTGGCAGGGACAGAACAATTGATTCCACAGGCCTTATGCGGCTCGCGAGCCAGGCATTCCTAACCCCAATTTTAAGCGGCTTATGGGTTTCAACATGGTTGACATAGCTTTTTCTACTTTCATGAATTTTCGTAGTCTGTCTGTCTGTCTGTCTGTCTGTCTGTCTGTCTGTCTGTCTGTCTGTCTGTCTGTCTGTCTGTCTGTCTGTCTGTCTGTCTGTCTGTCTGTCTGTCTGTCTGCCTGTCTGTCTGTCTGTCTGTCTGTCTGTCTGTCTGTCTGTCTGTCTGTCTGTCTGTCTGTCTGTCTGTCTCTCTGTCTGTCTGTCTCTCTGTCTGTCTGACCTAAAAAGACTTGGCATCACCAACTGGAAAAAGAAGGCCAACCATAGAGATGTGTGTAGACGTGTGATTTGTGCAGCAATCAACCTCAATGACTCATAATGCTGAAGAAGGAGAAGATTTAAATAAACTCACAACAATATGGGCAGGAAAAGAACCATATGGTGAGCTGCACATAATGAGCCTGTTAAATAGCGCAGTGGTTCTAACTTCTTCTTCTTCTTCTTCTTCTTCTTCTTCTTCTTCTTCTTCTTCTTCTTCTTCTTCTTCTTCTTCTTCTTCTTCTTCTTCTTCTTCTTCTTCTTCTTCTTCTTCTTCTTCTTCTTCTTCTTCTTCTTCTTCTTCTTCTTCTTCTTCTTCTTCCTCTTCTTCTTAAGTCTCTTGTAGTCTTTTTGCTGTCTATTTGCCTTCATGCTGCCAGTAATTAGTGGTGGTTTAAACAGGTTGTGAATTTCGTTGTTGCTTCTCACTACCAACTCTCCGATGTCTGCACCTTTGATAGTTATATCATATCATAATATTTATGCCAGGTGACAAATACAAAAACAGGCAATATATATTTATGGCCGACTAAGCATTGGTTGACAGATGACAGATTTTATGTTCATTTATTACCTTAACTCCAATGTGACATTTGCTTTTGGCATGCTTATCGGCGTATCCGAAAGTAGTGATTTCAGGTTCCGGCGTATCCGGACTTTTTACAAAAATTAACCGTGGCTCTCGGGTACGAGGTAAAGTCCTGGGAAGTAAAGGCGATGTTGACCACAGAAGGCACCCAATGCCGTTGGACTATACAATATTGGTCTGGTCCTTATGCCCAAAACGCCTGAAGGCGGGGGAAAAAGTCCGTTATGTCAGATATGACTTTGTTTTCGCAAATTTATGTCATTGTCCAGTCACAACAACAACTCACGAAATGTGGTAAATACATCCGTTCTTACAATATCTTATGTCATTTATGTCAAATATGAGACTTTCAAAATTGCTGGCATTTATCCCAGATGCTAGACACAACTTACTTCATGGCATATTTATAAACTATGAGACACCACCATAAATGACATTTATGTCAAATAAGACACACTGCCCCATTTCACGGCGTGTTTGTCAAATATATAAGACACTGCACCAATTCACGGTGTATTTGTCGAATATATAAGACACTGCACCAGTTCACGGTGTGTTTGTCGAATATATAAGACACTGCACCAGTTCACGATGTGTTTGTCGATTATAAGACACTGCACCAGTTCACGGTGTGTTTGTCGAATATATAAGACACTGCACCAGTTCACGGTGTATTTGTCGAATATATAAGACACTGTACCAATTCACGGTGTGTTTGTCGAATATATAAGACACTGCACCAGTTCACGGTGTATTTGTCGAATATATAAGACACTGCACCAGTTCACGGTGTATTTGTCGAATATATAAGACACTGCACCAATTCACGGTGTATTTGTCGAATATATAAGACACTGCACCAATTCACGGTGTATTTGTCGAATATATAAGACACTGTACCAATTCACGGTTTATTTTGTCGAATATATAAGACACTGTACCATTCACGGTGTATTTGTCGAATATATAAGACACTGCACCAGTTCACGGTGTGTTTGTCGAATATATAAGACACTGTACCAATTCACGGTGTATTTGTCGAATATATAAGACACTGTACCAATTCACGGTGTATTTGTCGAATATATAAGACACTGTACCAATTCACGGTGTATTTGTCGAATATATAAGACACTGCACCAGTTCACGGTGTGTTTGTCGATTATAAGACACTGCACCAGTTCACGGTGTGTTTGTCGAATATATAAGACACTGTACCAATTCACGGTGTATTTGTCGAATATATAAGACACTGTACCAATTCACGGTGTATTTGTCGAATATATAAGACACTGTACCAATTCACGGTGTATTTGTCGAATATATAAGACACTGCACCAGTTCACGGTGTGTTTGTCGAATATATAAGACACTGTACCAATTCACGGTGTATTTGTCGAATATATAAGACACTGTACCAATTCACGGTGTATTTGTCGAATATATAAGACACTGCACCAATTCACGGTGTATTTGTCGAATATATAAGACACTGCACCAGTTCACGATGTGTTTGTCGATTATAAGACACTGCACCCAGTTCACGGTGTGTTTGTCGAATATATAAGACACTGCACCAGTTCACGGTGTATTTGTCGAATATATAGGACACTGTAACCAATTCACGGTGTATTTTGTCGAATATATAAGACACTGTAACCAGTTCACGATGTGTTTGTCGAATATATAAGACACTGTACCAGTTCACGGTTGTGTGTTTGTCGAATATATAAGACACTGTACCAGTTCACGGTGTGTTTGTCGATTATAAGACACTACACCAGTTCACGGTGTGTTTGTCGAATATATAAGACACTGTACCAGTTCACGATGTATTTGTCGAATATATAAGACACTGTACCAGTTCACGGTGTGTTTGTCGAATATATAAGACACTGCACCAGTTCACGGTGTGTTTGTCGAATATATAAGACACTGTACCAATTCACGGTGTATTTGTCGAATATATAAGACACTGTACCAATTCACGGTGTATTTGTCGAATATATAAGACACTGTACCAATTCACGGTGTATTTGTCGAATATATAAGACACTGCACCAGTTCACGGTGTGTTTGTCGATTATAAGACCAGTACTGCACCAGTTAAAAGATAGGGCACCACACGGTGTGTTTGTCGAATATATAAGACACTGTACCAATTCACGGTGTATTTGTCGAATTATATAAGACACTGTACCAATTCACGGTGTATTTGTCGGAATATATAAGACACTGTACCAATTCACGGTGTATTTGTCGAATATATAAGACACTGCACCAGTTCACGGTATGTTTGTCGAATATATATAAGGACACTGTACCAATTCACGGTGTATTGTTGTAATCGAATATATAAGACACTGTACCAATTCACGGTGTGTTTGTCGAATATATAAAGACACTGCACCAATTCACGGTTGTATTTGTCGAATATATAAGACACTGCACCAGTTCACGATGTGTTTGTCGATTATAAGACACTGCACCAGTTCACGGTGTGTGTTTGTCGAATATATAAAGACACTGCACCAGTTGTGGTGTATTTGTCGAATATATAGGACACTGTACCAATTCACGGTGTATTTGTCGAATATATAAGGACACTGTTCACCAGTTCACGATGTGTTTGTCGAATATATAAGACACTGTACCAGTTCACACGATGTATTTGTCGAATATATAAGACACTGTACCAGTTCACGGTGTGTTTTTGTCGAATATATAAGACACTGTACCAATTCACGGTGTATTTGTCGAATATATAAGACACTGTACCAATTCACGGTGTGTATTTGTCGAATAATATAAGACACTGCACCAGTTCACGGTGTGTTTGTCGAATATATAAGACACTGTACCAATTCACGGTGTATTTGTCGAATATATAAGACACTGTACCAATTCACGGTGTATTTGTCGAATATATAAGACACTGCACCAGTTCACGGGGTGTGTTTGTCGAATATATAAGACACTGTACCAATTCACGGTGTATTTGTCGAATATATAAGACACTGCTGTACCAATTCACGGTGTATTTGTCGAATATATAAGACACTGTACCAATTCACGGTGTATTTGTCGAATATATAAGACACTGCACCAGTTCACGGTGTGTTTGTCGAATATATAAGACACTGTACCAATTCACGGTGTATTTGTCGAATATATAAGACACTGTACCAATTCACGGTGTATTTGTCGAATATATAAGACACTGCACCAATTCACGGTGTATTTGTCGAATATATAAGACACTGCACCAGTTCACGATGTGTTTGTCGATTATAAGACACTGCACCAGTTCACGGTGTGTTTGTCGAATATATAAGACACTGC